ACGCAGAAGTGTAATACTTCTACGTTACGCCGGTTTTCTGTGAGGTCGTGGTACTACCCCGGACGGACCTGCCCATTCGTGCAACAGCGAACACTGTTGCGTGGCCCTACCACAGTTAAAATCACCGGTTCGCTAATGTCACTATCTATAGCAAGAAATCTACGTATAAATCTCCGTATAATATAAAATTTAAATGGCTTATTATGTGAGAAGGCCGCGGCAATTTGCCAAAGGGTATTGACAACGCCAACGTTAAAAATAATTGGCCCAGGTAACGTAGGTCTTATTAATGTCTTAGGGCCATTGTCAATGATACAATATATAAACACGAGGTAGATATGACACAATTCACCGAAATTGAGACACTCACATTACGACAATTGGTGTAATTATATTGCAATTCTAAACACTGTTATCTCTTTCCGTATCATACATAATTATCATCTGTCACATTCACTTATATAGTCATATCAATGATCTTATTAAACATCATTTTGTCATATAATGTAAAATGAAAAATTTTTAAACGCCGGGTAATGGACATGCGTCACTTTTATTGAAACGTCCTAAGCAGTTAAAAACTTTAGCCTTTGGAAACTTTTTTTAATGTTTAATATTCCGCAATTATATCGAGACTATTTTTTACTGGCCAACGTTGTTAAATTTCTTGCGTGATAGGTCCATATAATTTTTTCCCCTCTTGACCTTGGTTTTGTCGCTACTAAACTATACTCGTATTTAATATTTAAACATAGCCATTTATGTGCCTAATTAGAATGTTTACGTCTTTTATTATCTATATTTTACATATCATTCATGTACTATCAGCGTGTATGTTTTTGTATGTTTTCCTTTAGTAATATTTTGCATGATAGAGCATAATGTTACTTTAATTTTATGGCTCTGTGGGGCCATTGTCAAGATATTGGCTTCGGCGCGGGTTCAATCCCTACACGTGACAAGTATTTGTGTGACCCACGGATAATTGTTTCAGATCTGGGTGTTTGTCCACGTGAAATTTATGTTTCTAATACGCTCTTACATCACAGGATAATGTTGTTCTACAGTAAGGGGAATGTTTTTAAAAGGATAAAAAATTGTTCTTCTCAGGTCAACGGTGTTCTTTTTCGAACCGGGGTAGTAGCGTTTTGACAGCCAATAAGTCTTCAGCCAATAAGGGTTCCTTTTATCCTTACTAATATTATAAAGGCGAAAGTTTGTATGTATGGATGGACAATAATATAGCTTATACATCAGAATAAGACATATGCTATAATGTATACACATATTTTTATGTTTATCTGTTTTTCTGTCTGAATGTTGCGCCTTCAGCCTATTCTACGCAGACGTAGTCGCGGGCACCAGCTAGTATTGAATAAAGATACTCGAATTAGAAAAAAAAAACATGCCTCAAGTTTTTGCTTTCAGTCCGTAGACTTTTAAAGCTTTATCAAACTTACTCGTGAGATCCCACGAGCCCAATACGAGGAATGTCCATCCGCACCTACGGGCCATTGAGGTTCCGTACGGACCGTGACCTCAATGACCATTGATTGTATTAATCGGTGGCTGAGTGCGGTGAGAACCGCCTTAGAATGTGAATGTGTTGATGTGCGTTAACACTATGACTGGGTCTATACCCAGACCCACAGGGTCCCACTAGACAACACTATGTGTTAGCAGGATCCCCGATGTGTACTACATACTTTTAACCGACATCAAAACTGATGGAGGTTTTAACCGACTTCAAAAAAGAAGGAGGTTTTGACCGTATATGTTTTTTATGTGTATTCGTGGATAACTTCGTCGTTTAAAAAAAAAAGTAAAGTAACTGCCTATACATGTCCCACTGCTGGGCAAAGGCCTCCTCTATACAGAGGGTATCAGGGTATAGTCCACCACGCGGCCCCACTGCGGATTGGCGGACTTCACATATTTTTTTTTTTTTTTTTTTTTATGCGAAAAGTTGTCAAACGAGCAGACGGTTCACCTGATGTTAAGTGAATACCGCCGCCCATGGACATCTGCTACACTCGAGGGTTACAGATGCGTTGACAACCTTTTGAAAATTGGGCTCCGGCTACCTCACTCACTAGACGAAACGCGAAAGTATTTGTCATACTTCCACTTTACGCCGGTCTTCTGTGAGGTCGTGGTACTTACCCGGACGGGCCTGCCCATTCGTGCAACAGCCGAGGCTGCTGCGTGGCCCTACCACCGTAAAATATATTTTCGAAATATATTTTTTTGTTATTATTTCGAAAATATGCAGCTTTCCTCACGATGTTTTCCTTCACCGTTGAGCACGTGATAAGTCAGCACTTAAAGTTAAAAACTTCATTGGTGCCGGCACCGGGGATCAGGTTGCTCGAATATATTGAATTAAAGGCGAGCGCCCGGGACACTAAGCTACCACGGCTCACTTCGTCGTTTATGAAACGATTTTGATGATTCTTTTTATATTGGAACGGAGATATCCCATAGGTGGTACGGCGATAACGAAACCCGGATCTGATGATGGCGTCCCAGAAAAATCGAGAGCAATTCTCTAATGTTATAGGTATTAACAATGTTTCTTTAGTTTCCGGTTTGAAGTCGGGTTTTTTTTTTTTTGTTAAAAATTATTTTCTGTACCCTTCATCGACCGAGTCAATCGGGACGTTTCGCTGGTAACGTTTGTAAACGGTCGCCGTTAGAATAGTTTCAGATCTTTCGATGTACCACTTGTTTCACTATGAAAAGTGTTCACGTAACGTCGGTAATCTGCAGTCACTATCCAGATCGACATTACAACGATACCACCTTGTACCGGTTAATCTATTTTGAACAACCTGAAATTTACGAAGGCGTCACATTTAATGTGCATTTGAGATGCATATGCATACAAGGGCGTTATGGGTCGTATGCAAGCCTTGTTTAACAGAAAAAATATGCCTTGAGCTGTACCCATTCAACGAAAGACCCCGCTAAATTGGTACAGATACTATCAAAACTCGGTTGTTTTGGTTTTACACATTAAAAACATTTAAAAAAATAGCTATAACCACGTCATGAGCCTACGATACGTTTGCCTAACTCGTATGGCCTCTACTACAATTGTGAAGCCTAATTAAAAATAAAGTAACAATAAAAATAAAATAAAACTACTACGCCTCCGTCTGGTTGGGTCCTATTTATATATGTATTATATATAATATTTAATATTGTATTATATACAATATTTATATCTTTATATTTATTGTTATTCATAATATTTATATTATATATGCAATATGATTAATTTTTATCTATAAACCCAACCAGACGAGAAAACAAATAAATATCCCCCATAATAATAATAATAAAATATCTTTATTCACATAGACGCTTGCGCGTTCTTATGAAATGTAGAAATTTTACAATGAAATTAATATGTTCGTGAGTTACCACCGGTTCGGAAAGCAGTTTCTGTTGAGAAGACACCGGCAAGAAACTCAACTATGTTTGACCGTTGGTCTAAAAGAGGAAATCCGTATATTTCCTATTTTTCTAAATTTTTATTATTCATACCTTCCAATCTTGTGTTGAAAGTATATGATGACAATGCAATTGCCATCTAAGACGAAAAGATAATAATTATGAAAAGTTCTTTTAGTAATAAAATCATTGATGCATAAAAAGAACTGACCTATAAAGGCGTGTGCCGAAACCAACATATATCTAGATCAGATTGTTTATCTGCATCGTGACTTTATCACCTTTTAATATATTTTAATCGGAGACTAACATAAAAGGGCGAGCTCTTTTGAATAAAACAACCTTATTTTATCTGTATCTTTTTGGGTCCTCGCCTTACCTAATGTTGTTCATATCACGTGAAATGTCCGACACGTGCCTACTTTGTAATTAATAGCCACTTTCTGCATGCAAATATGACTTTGGACTTATTTTTGTTTTACACAACCTTATAAAAACCTTAAAAAGGTAAAGAAAAACTTGGTTGTAGCGCCATAGAGGCTGAAACTATGTTTTACTTTTAGCACTGTCATGATATTTTAATTCCACAAAAAACGATGTCCCACTATGTTTTTCTTTAGATCTTAATCTGTATTTGTCTATGTACAGTTTACGTTACTATATGCTTCAGAGGAAGAATTGTCTTTAAAAATGAAAAAAGAAACCATTTTGTTTCATTTTAGAGTAATTAAAAAATACTTTTTTTTCTTTCAGAATATGCATCCTTTATTTGCCACTATATAATAGATATACAGGCGTTTGAATCTTACATTGCAGGCGGTCACATGCGGCGATGGCAATCTTGTGAGATTAAACGCCTCCAAATCACAGTCTCTTTTCCGTAAAAAGAAGCCTTTCACCTCCCTCCTACATTTCAGAATATGTCCCTGGATTATACCGACCATCTTCAGTTGTTGGAAGTCGAAATATCCTCAAATGTCAACTTTGGGTGGTTGTTCACTGAGTCTAAAGTCAAAGCAAGGATGTAAGGTAGCCTTGCAAAGGTACGACTTTACTTCACACCAGGACAGCGTTTTACTCGTATAAATCCCAAGTCCGATCGTGTGTTGAATACTGCTGTCATATCTGGGCTGGGGATGAAAAATGTCATCTGGCTGCCCTTGACTCAATGGAGGCGTGCGGAAATAGAATAGAATAGGAGCCATTTATTCAAGACATCACCCAACACCAATTTACAATAGAGGCTACAGTTTGCATTTTTAAAACAAACTTTGCCAATGGTCAAAACGAAAACAAATTGAGGTAAATAAAAGTTTAAGAAATATATCTAACATTGTTATTTATTGATTTTCCAAGGGCTTTATTACACACCCATGTCAAGGCAACAATTACTCTACTATTACAATATTTTTTGCTTACGGCCTATACTATAGGTTGACTACTGCAAATCTCAGTGAAATAATGTTCACACGCCACCCTGTGTCGCACCTATATCCCATACATAGCGTCTTTAAATCTTGGGATAGCATTTATGGAGTCTTCTAATTTAAGAATGATGTGATTTCTTTAGCCTCAATTTCTTTACAAACTTCGTCGGAGAAGTCGTTTTTAACATATTTACTGGTGTCAATGACGTTGGACTTTTTCAGGTAGTTCTCAACGGCTTCTTTGGCCGCACCCTCAAGGCTCTTGCTCCTTGATTTGATCCAAGAAAACACTGAATGAAAAAAAAAACAAGCTTGTTTATTTCTACAGAGATATTAAAAAATTGTCACTAAACATAATGACATAATATTAATTTTACTGTGGTAGAGCCACACAGCAGGCTGTTGCACGAATGGGCAGGCTCGTCCGGGTAAATACCACGACCTCACAGAAGACCGGCGTAAAGTGGAAATATAATACTTTTGCGTTTCGTGTGGTGAGTGAGGTGGCCGGAGCCCAATTTTCAAAAGCTTGTCATTTTGTTGCTGGAACCCTCGGGTGTAGCAGAGGTCCATGGGCGGCAGTATTCACTTAACATCCGGTGAACCGCATGCTCGCTTGGCAACTTTTCACATAAAAAAAGCCATAGTAGCTTAATTTCCTAATAAAGTCCTTCAAATAAATGCAAATGATCTTTACAGCAATATGTACAGTTAAAAACATGTATCCGGAGTAACATATTTCTAAAGACAATCTGAACACAAACAATAGCCATAAATGACTTTGAACTATTTTAATGAAGTATTATTAATTGAATTGAATATTATTTTAAGTACTGCTTTCTTTGTCGAAGTTATACTTCATTCAATCTTCATTTTAGTCATAAACATGGAATAAGAAAAACGTATGCCCGTTTTCCCTATCGATCACTAACTTTAAGGGGATGTCCCTTAAAAGAAAATTAACTGCTAATTTCGTTCTCAACACCGCTTAAATGTTACGCTTAAGTACACACAAATTTTTTTCGTTTTCCATTTGAGCTCGAAAAAAATGACATCACATACTAATAACTTGAAAGTGATGATGAAATTGCCTTTGTAAAACAACCTTCCTACGGTACTTGCATTAGTATAATCTACTTTTCGAGCTTAATAGCCTGAGTCAAACATCAAACATAACCATAGAATAGTATACCTTGGTGCTTGTTGTTGTCCTTAAAATATTTGCAACTGTAGCCAATTGAGTAGCTCTTGTAGTCAGTGTCCAGAATAGTCAAGTATGAAAACTTTGTTTTGCCTGAAAATAAAACATGAGATGTATTGTCTGAAGTCTTTCTCGTCACCGTGGCCTATCCAATAAAATACATGCCAAATAATAACACTAATAAATTACTCAATACATTTAGATAATTATAATCAGTCATTCGAATAATTGTCTCTTTAATTTACGTACCATCGAAAGTGTAGTTAAGCCTCACTTGAGCTGGTCCGACGAGCGTGAGTTCTGCGTTTATATAATAATTAACGTTATTGATCAGGTGTGAGTTCTTCGCCGAGCCTTTGTCGCCATCGACTGTGTACTCAGCGGTTGTACATTTGCCTCTGTCCTGCTCCTCGCCTGCGTTAGGGAACTTGGCGATTTCGTACCATTTTCCTTGGTACTGCAAAAATATGTACAGTTAGTAGGTTCAACTTTTATTTAAATTATAATGTTGGGATTTATTTATTTATCCAAGAGGTCCGTCAACATCAAACCTAAAAATTTAGATAAGAAGAAAAAATCTTGCACAATTTAGCAAACGTTGGCAACGGCTCAGTGGAGGATTCGTATTCCCTGTCACCACCGGATTCGTTAGTAATTTATAAAAATTCATAAAGTAATAATACAAGAGCTCGAATTTCATATTGACGACATATACGCAAAATGAGTTAGAAGAGGAGAAAAATCAACTTACAGCTGAGAAATTAAAGTTCTCTACTGGCTTAACCTCTGGGCATGGCCCGTCAAAAATAACATCAGCGGACACCAACGCCACAACGGCAAAAAAAACGAAGTGAAGCATTTTACGTCCGTCTGTTTCAAATGATTCCTTCAACTGATACTACGAAAGTGATACTGTGAAATAATAGAAATTCGCACCCTATATATACATACAAATCAAGGGTTAGAGTTCAGCAGTTTATTGACGTGTATAACTTATTAACGAAAAAGTTATCGTTATAATTATAACGATTATCACTTTTTCTGAACTATACCAGGTCACAAAAATAACGGGTCGCTAAACTACTGATGTGAATGATGTGATGAAATATCTAAAGTTTCATTCATGAAACCATATTGCGTTGCAGTGGTTTTCACAGAAATAAAAGTACATAAAGATTTTTTAGTTTTTAGTGAAAAATCTTATCCTTAATAAGAAATAGGAAAGGAGATATCCCAAGGGTGGTACCATGATAAAGAAACCCGCATCTGATGATGGCATCCCAGAGAAATTGAGGGCCATCATTGAAAGTTATACGTATTAAAAGTATTTTTAATTTTCTAATTGAAGTCGTTTTTTTTTTTTTTTTTGGAAAAAATTATCTCCATAAGCCCTTATAACCGTTACTTGTGTAAGGTAATTCTTTAAAGTTATAGATCAATTGTATATGACCACTTTCTCTGTACAATTTTCTAAAGGTAATAATCGTCCTACAACATTATTGATCCCCTTCCACCTGGCACCTCTTCTTCAAATCATCTTGAAAGATGACCTTTTTCAATCTCCATTATCTCCAATGATGCAATGCTGTTATTAGTATCTAAATCAATTTTTCAGCAGCTACAATTTTTTTCTTATCTGGCAGCCTCTAATTATAAGATGGTATATGGTACTTGTACTACACTATTTTGTCTATAAACTCAGGCTTAATGTCATAGATATAATGTTTTCTAAATCTCATCAAGCCTTCCATTGTTGGAAAAAAATTCGTCCTGAAATCACTTACAAATTCAAACAGAGAATATGTTTTCCGGTGACCTATTAGCCACCGCAATCATTTTGTACCCTAAGTCCAGAGGACTCTGCTGTGATGAACTGCCCGTTCATCTCAAGTCAGGGCACGGGTACGCGACCCCGGACTCCTCGAGCTACCGGTAACATATTCCCTCCTTCCTTCCGTGGTACTGTCATCCTCTAACCTACACCTTCCAATCTTGATTTTCTTCCACTCCAGTCTCCGGAAACAGCGGAAGTTTTCCGCGGGGGTATTCGCTAGTCATCAGCGAGGCATTGTGGAAGGCCGAAGTGATAAATTTTTAGTTCTCGTGGTTCTCACCAGACACTGCATCCAAACTCTCTTCCGGTTGTAGCGATTCACTGTTCTATCTGGGAAAAGAGAACTAGGAGAGAGTGGTTGTGCCTGCTGCGTATGCGCTTGTTCACCATAATATCTCCTGCGCAGCTGACTGCTTCTCGAAAATATCTCCGATTCAACATAAGGTCAAGTGGCGATGGGTTGAGGTAGAGAGGTCTGGTTTTATGCCAGCAAGGCTTTGTCTGATGTATGCACATTGGCGGCTCTAGGGGTGCAGTATGCACCGTGGTCGATTTCGTTCTGCATTTGGGGGAAATAAAGATTTCGGCAGCACCTAGAGTGACAAAGCAGCCCTATTTAGGGAGGCACTGCTTTCCCCGCTCAGCCTAGAAAAGGTGCCCTAAAAAAAGCTCACCCAATTTTACAGGATGGTAGTAACCACGACTGCCTCCGCATCTTTTAAAGCGTGGTCGACGTTTCAAAATGAAAAATAATAATACTTTAACACCTGTTATGACTTTTGGCGCGTGGAACGTACGGACTCTTCTTGACCGAAGAGAAAATGCCTGTCTTGAAAAAACCTGCCATCAACTGTTCGAGAACTCGGTCGATACAATGTGGACGTGGCTGCTATCAGCGAAACACACCTTGCCGACGAAGGAAAGCTGGTAGAAAACGGAGGTGAGTATACCTTCTTTCGGAAAGGCACAGACTCCTCTGAACCCAAAAATAACCTTGCGAAGCGACTTGAAGAATATCCAGTCCATGTTTCAGATCGCGTTACTACGCTGCGCCTCCACCTAGATAATGAAAACTACCTTAATATTATCAGTGTCTATGCTCCAACGCTAGGCAAAACTGATGATATTAAGGAAAAAATTTATGAGGAGCTAACCCATTGCCTCGATAAGATACGTTTCAGAGAGCAGATCCTTCTGCTGGGCGATTTTAATGCTAGGGTTGGTCACGACTTTGAGGCCTAGCCTACGGTTTTGGGTACACACGGAGTCGGCAACATAATTAGCAAGGGACAGCTGCTGTTAAATTTATGTGCACAATTTGATCTGTCAAAAACTAATGCCTACACCTTCCAATAGACATTCGAATTGGACATCATTAAAAACAACTAAAAGTATAGAGATTACTAAAAACCGAAACAGAATATCACATTTTTTGTCGTCCGCTTCTCGTAAAACGCTACAGAAGCAAATGCTGATGTAGAAAGACTAATTTTTAGTAGTGAACGTAATAAGGTAGAATAAAAAAAAGGATACATAAATTTAAATTGTTTATAGTGCTACAAAAGTACGAAAAGATTGTCGCCGCTGTGGGAATCGAACCCACGTCTTCGGCAATCGCGGCCTGACGCTCTAGCCACTGAGCTAAACGGTTGATTGCCACACCGGCGAAAATCTTAACATCTTTTATCTACACTATTTTTTAGCATTTGAAGCAATGCTTGGTGCATCCATTGTTATATCCTTTCCAGCATACAAACAATTTCGAATATCTTTTTACAACGATAATTCGAACAAGAGATGTCGCCATTCAAGCGATTCCCACAGCGGGGACAATCTTTTCGTACTTTTTCTACATATTTTAATGTTCAATCTTAAGTGCAAAGATTAGCACTATAAACAATTAAAATTTCTAAAAATCAATGGCAACATCTCTAGTCGATGTACTGAGTTAGACGTCAGACGGGACGAGCTGAAAGCCCGACCACCTGGGCAATAAGCTACAATTGTCAGTAGTGTGTTCATATGTCCATTATGCGCGAGGACATTTGTCAATGCAATTGGTCATGCGAGTCCCGCTAGATCTCATGAACGCTTAAAACACCGGAGCTGAAGCGGTCGCCGTGACCGATAACGGTCAGGAAGTAGTAAGTTAGTAAGTAAGCATTTTGTACCCATATATGCAGACAAAAAGTTTCAAATTTTAACCTTTCTTCCTCTGTATTCAAATTCTTCTGAAGGATATTCCCGAATGGCTCCAATGATGTTTTATTGAGATGTCCGTCATGTCACGTCATGTGCATACCGAGCGCTGTTTAAAAATTGTTCCGCTTTACATTATATGACACATATGTGAATGTGACAGAGAATATAGAACGTATGATACGAAAAGAGATAGCAGTCTATACAATTGCATTCTAAATACACCAATAGGTGTAGTTTGATTGGTGTAATGCCTCAATTTCGGTGCGCTAGTGTCATATTTTTTTCTACAATGACATTTTCGTTGGCTCTAATGATGTTTTAATAAAGATGACGTATGTTCATACCTAGCGGCATTTAAAAATTGTTCCCCATTACATTGTATGACAAACATGGGTATATGTGACAGATAATATAGAACGTATGATGCGGAAAGTGATAGCAGTAGAATTGCAATATATTTGCACCAATTAGCGTAATTCGAGTGCCTCAATTTCGGTGAGCTAGTCATATCAACCTCGTATTTATATATAATGTCATTGCTTGGCTCTTAATGAATTTGTTTTCATTGGTTGCAAAAATGTAATGAAATATATAATTTATTTCTAAGGTTTTTTTACGCTAAACTTTCGTCTGTTTGAGATCTAAAATTGGGTTTAAATTTTTGTCACCTTGACAGCCAAATTTAACTATTTAGGATTTGTTACATAAGCTTCCAAATTTTATTCTTAATCAAGTTTTTTAAGAAGGTTTTATAATTTAATTGTGCAAAAAAAAATTCGATAGCCCTAGGCAAAGCTCAAAGCCTGTTTCGAACTTGAACAGCCGTGAGATGTCGATTCCTTAGCGTATTGCTATCGATGAATCGGCCTTCTCATATAGTTGTGGACCTTGGCCTGTCATTTCCTGGTCTTCTAATATTCTAGTCGATCTCTCGAACTGCTGGAGTAATCTTTAAACCGTGGGTAAATATACTCCTACTACTTTAGCAGTACTGCGATTTTTATTTTCTTTAAAAAAAGCAAGAAAATATCTTATTTCAATTTTACATTTTTCACAAGTCTGAGTTTTATATTTTAAAGCTGTTACATACTTCAAACTAACCCTAGTTTTCGGTTTTATGATAAACATTACTAATTAATATATAATCGAAATAGCTCCGCTTCCAGGCGCTCGCTTTTAACTCAATACACTCAAGCCAACTGAATTTAAGACACCGTGTACAAGCACCAATGAAAATGAAAATTTCCTAAGTGCAGCCCAATACAGTAGTGAAGTAAAACTTTAAAACGTCAGATAATTTTATGTGATAACCTTTGATACCTGAGTATAAAAGGATCAAAAATTTAAAAGAAAAAAAAATTAAGACTTTAAACCATAAATTTAAGACCTGATTTTATTACAATTAGATTAGAATGAATGGATTAGGATATAAAGTTCTGCATGTTGAGACCATTTTTGCGAAATATTCACTGTCATTAAAAATGCCTCCGATAGTATATTGCCAAGCCCACTCACTAGTTTTGTACCCAGACTTCTTTGAGCCTTTTCATATAGTATATAGCGTAGGGCAATATACTGAGATTAAAAGGATGTTGTTAATGCTCCAGCCAGTAAATAAACCTGCTTATTGCCTTTGTCTATAATCCGTCCATTTTCAACCACGGACGATTTTCTGTCTAATTAACTTTCCCTAATACTGTATCTAATTTTCAGCATCCATTTTCAGCTTCAAGGCCAGAACCCCGATTAGGTGCACCTCATTTTTACGCTTTAAATGTTTAGATGATAAACACAAATGTTTCATTTATTTTGGGAGTATCTAT